AAGTTAGCTGCACGCTGCCCACCAGCACGCAGACCCCAGACCCACCGGAACCAGGTCGATGATGCTGACTCCTGATTACCTCACCACCAACCAATCACAATAATGCCCAAGAGCTGATCACACCCGCCTCGACCCCCTCCTTCACTCTGTCTTTATAAACCCTCCCTGAAAGCCCTGAGGGAGGTCAGGTCTCCTTGTGGCCCTGAAGTTAACGCTGCACTTTCCTTCACTGCAACCTGGTGTCAGCAGGTCGGCTTTAACACTCGTGGGCGAGCACACCTGAGTTTGGTTCAGTACCACCCCCATAAGTCATTTTTAGAATTAAAAACGGAGATGGAAAATGTCAGAGAAAAGATAAGTACAAGTAAGGATCCATTCGGGAGACCCAATATCAACTAATAAAATAATTGGGAAGAGAACAGAGAACAGAGAAAAAGGAAGGGAAGGAAACAGGAATGAAGAGGTGACAGAGAAAAACTTACCCAGGAACAGGAGGACACAAGCCTCCCCGCGTGGAAGGGCCACCAAGCGGCCACACGGCGAAACAGGAGGAACCACCGGACTCCTCCGACACAGGGTGGACGCTGCTGCTCTCCAAAAAGGGCCTTCAAGCACCCTTTTACCCCGAAGATGTGCACCCATTCATTTGATTACATTAAAACCAAAACCCCAAACGTCCGTGTTTCCTTCCCAGCACGCAGCGTCCACACAATTCACACATCGAAATGAAGCCACGCTCCTAAGTTACACGGGCCCCAGACACCCCAACCCCAAAGGCCTCCGGGTCCACCTCCAAGGTCTGAGCCCAGCACCAATACACCCCCATCCCCCATGCGTCTTCTCTCAGCCACATTCTGAGCTCCGCCACTGAACTTGCCCCAAACCAGAAAAAGGTGGGGGAGGGACGACACCAAATCCCTCCTAATTTCCTCCCTTTCAAGAGGAAAACACGGAAGGGAAGGAGCCCACACCCCGGACGGCCCCCATCAGTCGGCACCCATGCTGGTGACACCTCTCCCGCGTGGACCCCTCCCCGCCCCCCTGCCCACCACACACCTGTCATCACGGCACCTTCTCAAGTTCTCCCTTCTGGCTCCAGTACGGCTGAGGTTGTGTGTCTGTTCACCGCTGCCTGCACGGGGGTTATGGGCTGGCCTGTGTCCCCCGAAAGTCACCTGCTGAAGCCGACCCTAGGGCGGGCCTGATGCAGTCTGACCTCACGCCCCAAGGGACACCACACCCTCGTCCTGCGGTAACCACCAGGGCCCTGCCCCTTCCCGCGGCCTCTGGGGAGGGGGCCGGGGCCGGCAGCTTGGCCAGACCCCTCCTTCCTTCCGACAGGCAGCCCAGTCTCCCTCGGAGCCTCTCATTCCACCTGGGTTGGAGGACGTACCCTCTGCTGTGGGAGACGTGGGCGTCTCATCCTTAGCTGTGGTCTGAGACACTCCACAGGCTGCTGGGCTTTGAGGACAAAACCAAAGACCTTTGTCAACCAGAGTCCTGGCTGGAAACTAAGGCAGACTCAGCTGTTTTGTAGGGCATTCCATGAAGGGATGGTCACCTGGATGTGGGCCTTAAGGAAACCAGCACGGGGGGCGTCGAGGCACCCGGGGCCCTCCTGGGCTGCAGGGATAAGGGGAGATGTGTTGTCAGGGCCAGTGAAGGGTTTATGGGGGGAGCCATCCCTGCGGATGCGGAGGGAGCACAGCCATGAGCAGACTGCGGTCCTGGGCAGGACAGGGCCTGGGGGGAACACCCGAACCTCTCTCCCCCCTTGTCCTGCCAGTGCCTCCCACTGGCCAAATCCTGCTGGAAGCTGGAGCCACAGGAACAGTGGTGCCCTGGGGACAGAGCAGGACAGAGAAAGGTGGAGTGGAGAGGCGAATGCCAAGGAGGTGGGCAAGAGACCCATGCAAGGCCCATGGGATGGGAGCCCTCACCTCCTGGAACCAGCTCCGCAGCAGACAGGCCTGCCCAGCGAGCAGCAGCGTCCTGACAGACCGTCCCCTCCACGCCCACCACTCTGCAGCCTCGGAGCCCCTCACTGCCACTCACCCCCACTCAGGCAGCCGCCTGCCCCGACAACGCCGGTCAGAGAAGCCCCTCACCTACCGCAGGGGTGTCTTCCTCAGACCCCTAACAATGGGCAGAGCGAACCAGGCGCCAGGAGGGCCGAGACCCAAGCTCAGGGTTTGCGGCCCAAGCGGAGCCAACGTGACTCAGCACCTTGCCTGCAAGGTCACCACCGCCAACCAGCCTGGGACCCGGGACCAGACGCCTCCGGGTAACCAGCACCCCAAGAACAGAATCCCCCTGCCCCTGCTCGAGTTAGCCCCTCCCAAAGTGGAGCCCAGGGCCGTGCATTACATTAGCTAAACCAACCAACTGCACCCTCATTCCAGGCAGGGGGACCCCCAGACACAAGAAGAAATTTCCATGCTGGGCAGCCAATAAACGTGCCCACTGATACGGGCCCCTTTCAGTGCGTCCAAGGGTTTCCCTCAGACACTGTCTTCAGAAAGAGGACTGACTCACGGTACCTGTGGCCAAATTTCTTTCCCTGAAGAGTTAAACCAAGCCTCAACCACACCCAGCAAGCACAGTGCCTGCTTTGCACACCCACATAATATTAAGTTTTTAAGAAAAAACTCCTAGGCAAAATATGACTGATACAACATCATTGCTTAATTCTTTCTTTCCTTTTTTGTTTTTGGTTTGTGTTCTTTCGGTTTTGGCGGGGGAGGGGTTCCTATGTTTATTAGTTGTATTCAGCAGAAGTCTTTGATGCTTGACTTAGGACATGTTTTATTATTTGTTTTGATGACTGATCTTTCATTATTTTCCTTTCTGTAGCCTGTGCTAAAATTAGCTGGCATTTGCTGAAAAGAGAGGTTTTGGAATTAGATTCAGCTGTGTGTAACAGGAAACAACCAAAGAGGCTTAAACTAGATAGAAGTTTCTTTCTCTGCCATGTAAAAGAGGGCTGGAGAAGGGCAGTCCAGAGCTGGCTTTGGACCTCCTCCACGATCCTCCCTGATCACCTCCCACCACCCCCTGAAGGGGCCTCCTCCTCACTGTCCAAGGTGGCAGCCAGAGCGCCAGCCATCATGCCCAGGAACAGGACAGAGGACTGGAAGAAGAGGGAATGAATAGCTGCTGCCTTTGCACCACATCTGTTTGCATTTTCTTGGCCAAAATTCAGACATGTGGCTTCACCAAGGGAAGCTGGACAATCAGGCCAGCTAAGAATCAGGACCTCACTACTCAGGACTAAGGGAAGAATGGCTATGGAGAGGAAGGCTACCATCTCTTCCACAGACAAGGATGAAAATCACATTTAAGGCAATCAGTTCACGGAAGAACAGTTACTACATTTATGATGATGACAGCACGTATTTACTGAATAGTTACCAATCGTGGGCCCTGTGCTAGGCGCCCCATATCTGTTACCCAGTCCTCACACAGGCCTCTGAAGGACAGACCCTGACCACACTTGTTCTAGAGAGGAGCAAACCGAGGCACAGAGAGGCTAGGTGACTTGTCCAAGGTCACCCAGCTAACAGGTGGCACAACTTGGATCTGAATGCAGGCAGCTGGCTCCAGATCCCCCAGGATAACTCTCACCAGCACTTACAGAACCAGGGCCAGCTGGGCGCACCCAAGGGGCCACAGACTCAGGAGTGAGGAGGGGGCCCGGGGCCAGAGCTGCTCTCTTACTCTGAGCCTCTGCACATCTCATCCACTCTACAAATGCTCATCCCCGACATGCGTAACATGTGCAATGAACTGCCTGGTGCCTGTGTTTGCGGCTCTGTGGGCAGCCAGTACACGGCAGGTGCTCCGAAGACACCTGACCTGAGTGGACGCAGCCCCTGCCCTCCAGCGCTCAAGGCCAAGTAAGGAGATGGGCGGCCGCGCGGGAAACAGAGCCGGCTCAGGCGGGGCCTCCATGCGACAAGCCTGGTGAGGCCGAGCTGTACTTTGTGAGTCACAAGCAGTCAGGTTGTAAGGCCCTCGAGGTAGGCCTCAGCCACACTTCGCATTCCTCTCAAATCCAAGGTGAGAAGTGTAGGCTCAGCCCTGAGGCCACAGGGAGGCTCGAAGCAAGGGGTGGCAGGGCGGCCCCCAGGGGAGACCATCCTGGCAGCCTGTGCCGAGGACTCTGCTGGACTGGGGCAGGGAAAGGGTGGCTGGAGGCAGAGGGGGCCGGACAGGAGGAGGCGGCCTTTTAGGGCTGAGGAAACTGGCTGAGAGGGGATGAGGGGAGTCTGAGGTGGGATGGGAGCCGAGTGAAGGCATTTGGAAGAAGGGGCTGCGGCTAGGGGAAGAACAAAACAGAAGGCCTCTGGGGGAGGGGGAAGGAGGGGGCCTGAGGGGTGCTGGAAGGGGCTGGAAGGGGCCCTGGCTCAAGCTGGCCGAGAGCACTTGGATGCCTGCAGGCTGTGCTCACGGCTCAGCAATGTCCCTGGGCTGCCAGGATACGCCTGGCCACTGCCCCTGCGCCCCAGCCCCAGCACCCGGCCCCACATCAGGAGCTCTGGAGCTGCCCCCCACCCCACCTTCTGCTCCCCCAGAATGGGCCTCCGCTCCCCAGAACCCAGACGTACCCCCCCCCACCTCAGCCTTTCCCCAGTGATGACGGCTAATGAAACCCAGGCCAGGGAAGAAGGGAGAAAACAAACAGACGTGGGCAGGGGGGCCGTCAGCAGGCGGGGCAGGGGCTGGGGGTGCCAGTCGGGGGGGAGGAGTCCGGGCCAGTCTGAGCCCTGGGGCGTGGACTTCCGCCCGCTTTGCCCCGCGGGGCTAATGAGGCCCAGGTGGTCCCTTGGCTGGGGCCCACCTCCCGGCACCACTGACAGTGTAAGTGGATGCTGGTTCTGTGCCGGGGGAGGGGGAGAGGGGGCTCTGCAGCCACAGGGGCGGGGCTGGAGCGGCTGGCCGGGGGCCCAGCACATAACTCTGGGCCGGCTCAGTCTGGGGCGCAGTCTGGGGCAGCAGACACCAAGCCGCTTGGAGCCCAGCTGGCAGCATGAAGGTACCGGGCCGGGGCGGGGGCCTCAGGGCCACAGGGGACTGAACCCACCCTGCAGAGAGGACCCTTGCCAGGCGGGGGGCTGTGAAGGGACGGGGCTCAGTCCAGGGGAGGTGTGGAGGCAGAAGCGCAGACCAGGGGCTCCTGGCAGGGCTGCTTCGTCCGAGGGGCAAATGCAGAGGCGGCGGGGGCTCTGGGGCTGGGCGGGTGACCCTGTTTTCCTGTCGTCAGGCCCTTCTGGCTCTGCCGCTGCTGCTGCTTCTCTGCACTGGCCCCTGCGTCCCCCAGGTCTTGGGGATCCGGGGAGATGGTAAGCTGCCGCACTCGCACAGCCCACAGGCTGGGCGAGGGGGCTGTCCTGAGCATCGCAGCTGGGAGTTGGGCCCCAGGGCTGAGCCTGTAAGAGGGGGCAGGTGGGCCAGACGGTACGCGCCCCCAGCTCGGGGAGGAAGGTGAAGGGGGGCCGGGGGGGGCGGAGGTGGCTGGTGTGCCTCAGGCCCCTTCTCCTCACCCCGCCCCCAGCTCTGGAGAGGTCATGCCTACAGCAGCCCCTGGACTGCGACGACATCTATGCCCAGGGCTACCAGGCGGACGGCGTGTACCTCATCTACCCCTCGGGCCCCAGCGTGCCTGTGCCCGTCTTCTGTGACATGACCACCGAGGGTGGAAAGTGGACGGTGAGTGGAAGGGGGGGCACGGAGGCCAAGCCGCACGGCTGTGAGCCTGCGACTTCGTCTCTAAAGCAGGGACGACACAGCACAGTTTGTGCATCTCTGCCACCACAGACTCCTAGATGCTCAAGGTAGGTGACTGCCTGTAATGCTCAGAATAATCCCGGGAGCAAGGTTACAAATGAGGAACCAAAACCCAGAGAGGTGCAGTAACTTGCCCAAGGGAACACAGCCGGCGCCGGCCTCAACCCCAGGCGCCTCAATTCTAGAACGCCCCCTCCACCTCTTCCTGCTCTCAGCAGCCGCTCCCCGAGGGGCCTGGTGCCGGCACGTGCCTCACCTCGGCCCCCGGCGTGGTCCTCTCACAAACTGCCTCAGCCTCACAGGGTCCGCGCCCGGGTGAGGCCCCAGCCCCCTGGCCCCTCGAGCGTCCAGGCCCATCCTCTCTGCTCCAGGTTTTCCAGAAGAGATTCAACGGCTCAGTGAGCTTCTTCCGGGGCTGGAACGACTACAAGCTGGGCTTTGGCCGCGCCGATGGGGAGTACTGGCTGGGTAAGGCGGGGCCCGGCAGGCTGGGGGCCCCCAGAGCCAGGGCCCCGCTGACCGGCACGCCCCCCGCCCCCCCCAGGGCTGCAGAACCTGCACCTCCTGACACTGAAGCAGAAGTATGAGCTGCGGGTGGACCTGGAGGACTTCGAGAACAACACGGCCTTTGCCAAGTACGCCGACTTCTCCATCTCGCCCAACGCAGTCAGCGCCGAGGAGGACGGCTACAGCCTCCACGTGTCGGGCTTCGAGGACGGCGGGGCAGGTACCCACTCCCGCCAGCCGCGGAGGGGCTGTGGGGAGGCCGGGCTGCCCCCGCGCCCAGGCGGCCCCGCGAGCTGCGGACGCACAGCTACCCAGCGTCCGGCTCGGGAGAGGCCCCGTCCCCAGGCTGCCCCTCCCCTCCGCCAGGCGACTCCCTGTCCTACCACAGCGGCCAGAAGTTCTCCACCTTCGACCGGGACCAGGACCTCTTCGTGCAGAACTGCGCGGCCCTCTCGTCGGGCGCCTTCTGGTTCCGCAGCTGCCACTTCGCCAACCTCAACGGCTTCTACCTCGGCGGCTCCCACCTCTCCTACGCCAATGGCATCAACTGGGCCCAGTGGAAGGGCTTCTACTACTCCCTCAAGCGCACCGAGATGAAGATCCGCCGGGCCTGAGGCGCTGGCCCCGCCCCCCGCTCTGCCGCCCCGCCCCAGCCCCGCCCCGCTGCCCTCAGCGCCCTCATCTCCCGGGGGCCCCGTGGCTCCAGCCCAACCGCTCCCCTCACACCCACGACGCCCACCTCTCGCCCGGGCCTCCGCTCCCCTCCACCCGGCTACACGTTGGCGGCCTCCCAGACCTCCGGAAGGCACCGCCACCCGGCCTGGACTCGGACCCCGTCCGGAAGGCTGCGGGCCGGTGTCCCACCTTAGCCGGCTTCCCGACTGCGGCCTCCGCCAGGGCCCCGCGCCGGGAGACCGGCGGCGCAGTCCGACCCACTCCCGGAACACGCCAGGCCACCTGCGTGTGGCCGCCACCGCCACGCCCTAGCAGTCCCGCCAGCCAGCAGAGAACCTCCCATCCTTCACCTCCCTCCCAGCGGCCAGCACCATGGGCCCCCAGCCCCATCTCACTCTCACGCTCAACTTCCCCCGCCTGCCCTGCCCGTCCCAGGCACCCAAAGCTCGACACCCAAACCATATCTCACCCCGGCTACCGCAAGCCACACTAGAACAGCCACAGCCAAGGTAGGCACAGATTGTGAGGTCCCCCCACCCGCCCCGGGGGTGAGTCTGACCATGCGAGGTGGCAGAGGGCAACCTCTGTGGGGCTGGGAGCAAGTGGGGAGTGGAGGTCTTAATAAACCTCAGGACCTGAATGAACTGGCCTTGGCTGTTGTGCACGCAGATGCGTTTGCTTGGCCCCCAAGCTCTGGTTCCCCCACTGATGGCACCCTGCCCTTAACTCCAGAAATACGCCCTGGAGACAGGCACTAAAGAGAACCTTATATTTCACAGGCTTCGTTTTGATGGCAAAAAAAATTGTGTAATAATAATAATGTAATAATAATAATAATAAAAATACAATACTGAAAAGTATCGCTCGGGGGGGGGGGGGGGGGGGTGGGCCGGGTGGAGTGGGAGATTTGGGGGAATATGAATTAGGGCTTGGAGTTGATAAAAACGGGGTTGCCCCTCCTGCCGTGGCTCGTGCTGGCTCAGGTGGCCGCTTAAGGCCGCAGGGTGGGTCTGAGATGAACCTGCAAAATAATCCGAGCTGAGCTTCCCCTGTCAGGCCCGGGGCTCCAGCCCTCGGGAATAGTCCTGCGGATCTTGGAGCTGGGTCTGCCCCTGGCAGCAAGGCACAGACTGTGGGCCTCAGGGCTCCTGGAGGTCAGGCAGGTCAGCCAGCAGCATGGGGGAGTCCATCTGGATCTCACGCTGCAGGGACTCGATGTCAGCAGGGTTTATGCCGTGGCCCTCGAGCCAGTCGGCGAGCAGGGAGGCTGAGAGCGAGGCTGAGTCGGCCTGGCTGAGGGCGGCAAGGGGGAGAGCGGGGTGAGGGGCTCCTCCTGTGCTGGGAGCCCCTAGCCATAGCCCATTCTGGAGTCCCGGCCCAGCTCTTACCCATCCTGTGGTCCGTCAGCCACGCCCATGTCGAAAGACTGGTTTAGGAATTCCTCCAGGTCAAAGCCAACGCCATAGCCCGCTCCACTGCCCTTTGGGGTGCCGGAGAACACGGGGGGCAAGGGGTCCTCCACCTGCAGGGGATGATGGCAGCTTACAACACGGGAACCACCCAGCGCCAACTGAGGTCTGCAGGGCACCCCACCCTGACACTGCCCTCAAGTGGGCCTAGACACCTGTGGTGACAGCCCCAGCCTCAACAAACACTGAGTGCGGGCTGGGGTCTCCAACGACCGGCTCATCAGCGCTACGCTACTTCTGCGAGCGAGCAGGCAGGCTAGGAGAGCTCGAGCCTGGTCTGCCACTCAGCTCCACGGGACCAGGACACACAACAGCCTCTCCTGCCCCCAGCGACCTCCCAAGCCCACCTCCCCTGGATTCAGATCCAGGCATCCCCACGGCCAGGCCTCTCCCCTCACCTGCGACTTGGATAGCTGCTGGGTCACCAGGGTGACGTCGGGTGATTCGGAGGTGGAGGGCTGAGGGGCGCCCCCGGGGTCTGGAGGAGGTGGGCCAGAGGGGAAGTAAGGCAGAACGCTCGGGGCGCTGGCGCCAGGTAGCCCAGGGGGGGGCCCCAGCGGCTGGGGGGCCAGGAGGCCGGAGGAGGTGGTGGTCTGGGGTGGAGCAGCCGCAGGCCCAGCGGGCGGGCAGGTAGGCTGTGGCGGGGGGGCCGCAGGCGGGCTGCGGGGCCGGGCGGGGGGCGGCGTGGGCGCGGGGGCGGGGGGCCGGGCCATGCGAGTCCAGCGCTCCAGCAGGCTGCGGTCGTTGTCGCTGAGCACCAGCCCGGCCAGGGGGTCGGCGGAGGGGCCCCCGGAGGCCCCGGCGCCCCGCTCCTTGCGCTCCCGCTCCTGCCGCCGCTTCTCCCGCTCCTTGGCCCGCTCCTGCCGTCGCCGCCGCTTCTCCTCCCGCTCCCGCTGGCGCTCCTGGGCTGTCACCGGCTTCCGAGGCTCGGGAGCTTCCAGGGGGGCGCTGGGGCCATCTGCGGAGAAGACAGGAGGGTGATGGTAAGAGCCTGTCCAGGCCTGGGGCCCCTCTGCCTCTCGCTCCCCAGCCAGCCGCGGCCTCTGCCAGGCACCTCGGAGCCGACTCCGCAAGGACTTGAGCAGGGCGGCCTTGAGGGCAGCCTTGGTGTTGTCTGAGATGGCTCCCTCCCTCTTTGGAGGGGCTGGTTCACTGGCCGGCGGGGGCGGCTGCAGGGTCAGATCGACGGTGTCGGGCGCAGGGCCGGGGCATGGCAGTGGGGCCGGTGGAGGGGACTCCATGGCACAGTCCCCACTGGGAGCCCAGGGACTGGGCATCTCAACATCGGGGCAGCCGGGCTCACTGGCCACAGGCTGTAGGGAAGGCTGGAAGCGGATCTGCTGGCGGATGCCCTCGCGCCGTGCGTGGAAGTCTTCGATCTCGGCCACGATAGCCTCCTTAATGCGTTCCCGTGTGAGGGCTTCGCGGTCAAAGGCAAAGTCAAAGGGCGGGGCGCAGTCAGGCTCGTCATCGGGGTCGTGGTACTTGGCCAGGAAGGGGTGGCGAAGGGCGGCAGCTGCTGAGATGCGGGCACTGGGCTCAAAACGCAGCATGCGCCCCAGCAGGGAGAGGGCCTGGCGGTCGGCACCCGGGTACACCGTCTCCCAGGGCACAGGCTGGCGCGGCGGCAGGCTCTGGATGTAGGCCCGCACCCTCTCAGCCCCAACGGCCTGAATCACGGCAGGCGACGGGGTACCCAGCACCATCATGATCAGCTGCAGCTGGTGCACGTAGTTTTTGCCTGGGAAGAGCTGGCGGCGGGCCAGCATCTCCCCAAAGATGCAGCCCACAGACCACAGGTCGATAGCCTGCGTGTACTCGTGCAGGGAGAGCATGAGTTCGGGGGCTCGGTACCAGCGCGTGGCCACGTACTCGGTCATGAAGTACTGATGCTCGGCGGGCGAGGTGCACAAGCCTCGGGCCATGCCGAAGTCCCCAATCTTGAGCTCGCAGTTCTCGTTCACCAGCAGGTTGGAGGGCTTGAGGTCGCGGTGGATGACCTGAGCCGAGTGCATGTACTTGAGGCCCCGCAGCAGCTGGTACAGGAAGTAGCGCACGTGCTCCAGCGTCAGCGGCTGCGAGGAGTGGATGATCTGGTGCAGGTCACTCTCCATCAGGTCCAGGACCACATAGCTGAGGGGCAGGGGACACAGGCAGGGGCTGTCTTGCCCACCCTCCCGCCCCGGCCTCGCCACGCCCTCCCGCTCCAGACATGCCATGGCCTTACTCTCAGACTCTGCAGGGGCCACCCACTGGGTATGAAAATTCTAGATTCTCTACAACTCTTCCATTAACTTAAGTGAAGTGAAATCGCTTTTCTCTCCAGATCTAGTTTCACCATCAGAGCAAAGGTCGGGTTGGACTAAACCAGGCTGGCCAACATGTTTTGTTCGGGAGCCCTCTCCATTGTTTGGCAGTGGCTGCTTGAAAGACTATGATGAAAACTGTAAAGTCGTCTCCATTTTCTGTAGGACAGTGTTCTGTGATTGACTAGTGATGTCTGCTATGGGAATAAAAAGGTACAGATATAGAATGAACGTCCTACGTTTGCCAAGCTACATACTGAGGTCCTATAAAACTGTTACTTCTGCCTTCTTCTTGAGGAATCACATGTATCCCTGGCAAAGCCCCAAGGGAGCACTGATCCTAGAATCGCAGGAATTTTCCCAGCCTTCCCTACATTAGGTTCAGCTACTCTTCTAGAACTTCAGCAACATGGCCCCAGCGTTCAGAAAAGGTCCCTGCTCCGTCTCCCTCTTCCATCCCCGCTCCTTACACAGATTTGAACTCGCCATAGGGCACAGTGGGCCTCAGGATGTCCTTGATGGCAATGATGTTGTCGTGCTTGAAGTGTTTGAGGATCTTCAGCTCCCTGAGGGTCCGCTTGGCATTGGTCACCACGTCAAAAGCGTTAGGGATCTTCTTAATGGCCACCTGCTGGCCTGGGGAACAGGGGAAAAGCAGATGCCACAAGGTACCTTGGTTAGCTGCAGAGTAGCACAAGGCCCCTTTCAATACCTCCCTTTGCGGACTCAAGTGACAACAGCTACCGCTTACAGAGTACCTACTTTGTGCCAGGCTCTGTGCTAAGCATAGTACGTACGTTATCAGATTTCTCCTTCACCTCCTTCCTGAGGCAGGTACTCATAGCTCAAAGTTAGAGACGTGGAGACCTGGGCTCAGTAGCTTGCTGGGCGTTGCACAGCTAGTTAGTGGTAGACTCTAGACTCTCACACCTGTGCTCACCCTACCTCCCTACACTCTGCATCTCAGACCTCATCCATCCCACCACCAACCCCGAGCGCCAGTCTCTGGCTCCAGAACACACTCTGGAGAACCTCCATTCGGGTCTAACCCGGACTGTCACCTAAGAAGGAAGTAGGCTGATGCGCTGGTAAAGCCACCAGAGTTTCAGAGACCCGAGCCCAATACAGAGGCCGGCCCGCAGGGGCACCCAACCCATGCTTGCTGACTTGACCCAGAATTCACATCCCAGCGTCCCCGCTGGCTGCTCGGGACGGGGCGGGTCTCAGCCCCCGGGAACCGGTTTCCACACGTGCGAGCAAGGCCGGGCGGGTGGCTCACCGGTGAGGCGGCGGCGCGCGGAGGACACCACCCCATAGGCCCCGTTGCCGATGGTCTCGATGATCTCGTACTCGTCCCCCACGTCGAAGGTCACGTCGAAGGAGCGCGCCTTCAGCAGGGCCAGGTTCTTGGCCGCCACGGAGGCGGCGGGGCCGGTGGGTTCCGCCTTTCCCGGCCCGGGGGGCTCTCCGGAGCCATCCTCGCCGTCGTCCTCCTTCAGGGGCTCAGCCATGGCGTCTGCGTGGGGACGCGGGCGAGCAGAGGCCCGGCCCCGGACTCAGGGGGCCCCCCGAAGCCTCCAGGCCCGCAGGCCGAACGGCGCACGCAGCCCGTGTCCCGCACCCGCGGGAGCCCGGAGCTCAGGCCCGCGCGGGACGCGGGGTCGGCGGTGGGGGAGGCGCAGCGAGGCGCGGTCCAGGAAGAAAGCGAGGGGCGGGGCGCCCGCTCTCCTCGGTCGGCACTCGGCGGATGGCGCTTCACCCCGATGCCGCCCAGGCCCTCGGAGGTCCCGGCCCCCCGGCTCCCCGGCGTCGGCGGCTCTCAGTCCCCGGGTCGGGGTGGGGGGTGGGACCCGAAGACCCACTCGCTCACTGGGTCGGGCCGCC